CAGACAATACCAGTGTAGAAAATGAATGGCTGATGGGAACACAGTTATAAACCTCAAAAGAGATAAACATCAACCACAGAAGTTCATTTACATTGAAGAACAGGAGGGGGAAAAAAAAGAGAACTAAAGATAAAAATTCAGACTTGAAAATACATACCAATTTAAGAGGGTGCATTGGTACTGTGGCTATGCTGCCTGATTGCTCTGGAATTTATTTTTCGCCAGTGCAGCATCCAAAACTTTCTCCAATACAATAATTCCATTACAATAATAAAAGCCAGCAGAATTTAAAAATAAAGTAAGATGATCACATGAGCATCCGTGTATCAGCCACATAACGCAGCCACAGAGAACGGGGGCAGGGTCAAAGCCCCTGATCTCATTTTCATACCAGCACTCAGTGGCACCCGCCTCAGCACAAAGAATAGCTCACTCTAAAGATCACCACGGTCACATCCAAAGGACAAATCACATTTCTATTAATTAATTGCAGCTATAACTAGGAGTATTCAGGATTACCTCTCTGAATTTTCTCTAGCCCTAAGGAGAAGAAAGTCTAGAGAGAGAAGGAGGAATTTCTGGATCTTTGGACTTTTACTGATACACTGACCAAAAGTTCATGATAAAAATCACCTTCTGCCTCTCCTGCTTCTGCCCTCAGCCTCTGCAAGTAGAAGATCTTACACTTTGTGTGTTCAGGGAGAGAGAGCTGCCATGCTGTAAAATAATGTATTTTATTGCACAAGTGTGCAGGCAAAGATGATGTATGACCTGTTTGCATTACTATGTACCACGGAGACCGTTCCCAAGCCTCGCTGCATCAGGGCTGCCCAGGGATGGAAGGGCTCCCAGGCTGAGGGAACAGCACGCTGTCTCCAAAGGGAGCCCTTAAAAAGTTTCACTGGTCTTCTAGGGCTTGACTAATGCCTTGTCTTCCCTTGGCTTCATAAAGATTTCTAAAGCGTATCTGAGATTTGACCCTGAATATATGATGCTATTCTTGCTGTGTAATAAGTACCAGTGGTGCCAGGCATATAGAGGCAAATCTGCTCTGTGTTAGAGAGCTACATGTCAAAATGAGTTTGTAAAACACATTGCAAAAAGGATGAAATGCTGCTTACAATGCAAAGCCCACTGAAATCTACATATTGCTGCAATATTTACTATCAGCCAGAGCATATTATCTGAGATTAATAAATTATTCTTAGGCCATATTATGGTAAGGCATAGCAACTGCCATAAAGCAGCACTGTCACATAAAGAATTTTCACCAAAGTACCCGGCTCAAAATAATGACTTTGTTTATCTATAACTTTACGTTATTGATTGGGTTTGCTGAACTGAAGAAGGACTATGAAGTCATTCCGAAAGAACTACTGAGAAGTCTGGAAGCTCAGCCAATATAGAACTAGCAGCAAGAAGGCAATTTCCCTGAGAAAAAATAGTCATTCTTGGTTATTTTACAAACATGCAAGCAAATTACATTCTGTTTGCATAAATAAGAACTAAAGCCAAACATGTGGCTCTTACTGTCTGACTGTAACAACTTTTACTGGTATGACTTTTTTTTCTTGTACAACTACAGTGGAACTGAATCAAAGCAGCAACACGGGCGAATGCCTCAAGTTTTAGAGGACAGAACAGCAAAGCTTTCATACAGGCATTCCAAACAGTCCTGTGACCCAGCCACATAAGGGTAATTTCCAAGACAACAAGCTTAAAAATGGCTGTTCTGAAACAACAGTTCCTCTCCAAACACTAACCAGTTGATTTCCTTCATCTCATAGTTAAAACCTTGGCATTGCTAACCCCACCTGGCAGATTCAGATCCAAGGGAAGATGCTGGAGCATTCAGTAGCACGCCGAGTGCCCAGCCAGGCGCGGTGCATTGCTGTAGCCTCACCTCACCTCACACCAGAGCTCTGCAGCGCTGACACGCATGTCCCAGGCAGCTGTCTGCACCGCCTGCACTCAGTGGAGGGGAACAGGCACTCACGGGCTTCGTGTCTCTCTCTCCCTCCCTAAATTAGACTGCTAGAATAGGTCAAAAGAATTACCGCCTGGACACGCCAACTGGTCTCCAGTTTGTATGCAGGGAGGCAAAATAACTAGCTGGGATGCAGACACCCATGCTGCAGATTTCTAACTAGGCAAGATGAATCCTGAACCCTACAGAGAGCACACAGGGAAAGTCAGGAGCCTCACCGAGGCAACCCCCACAGTCCCACAGATTGCACGAGGGGCTGTACAATACCAACCCAAAGGAAATAGCCACCACAGGGTATCTGAAAGCACTTTGCTCTGGAAATAGGCAGCAATAGGCAAGTATATATACACATATTTGTATATAATTTTTTTTTAATCCATATGCAGGATAATTTAAAACATGTCTGAAAACCAAACAGGAAAAGGTCAACCATTGTCTTGCACCTGCTACGAGAACGTACAAACTAGGCTTGGTATTTTTTGCCTCAAGTTGCACCAGGGGAGGTTTCAATTGAATATTAGGAAGAATTTCTTCACTGAGGGAGTGGTTAAGCACTGGAATGGGCTGCCCAGGGATGTGGTGGAGTCATCATCCCTGGAGGTGTTCAAAAAACAAGTGGATCTGGTACTAGAGGCTATGGTCTAGTGGTTAGGGAAATGTTGGGAGGAAGGCTGGACTTGATTATAGAGGTCCTTTCTAACCATGGTGATTCTATGATTCTATTCTATCATTTAACAAAGACAAGATTACACAACAGCAATCTGGTACTGAAAGAAAGGATGCTGCCATCCCTTTGGAGGTGCCACGCTGTACTTCCTAGCCAGTATATGCAAGAAGTTGCTTTCTGTTGTTAACTGTTCAAAAGGAAGAGCTTACAAGCTCACTTAAGAAAGAACACACTCTAGGAGACAGTCTTCTAGACGCTGAGGTTGAGCTTGTCTCACTTAGGCACCCAGACCTACACCTTAATGCCTACTAAAGCAGTCTTTCTATGCGTGCCCCTACGCTGCCTGGTTATTCAGCAGAACAGGAGATACCTTTCCACGTCCTCAGAGGAAATTCCTGCCTGCTAAGTTTAGATGCTGAAATTGAGCACACAGGATCTCCCTTTGGAAGGCTTCAAAGGCACTTTCCTCTCTGCAACAAGGCTACATAGAATGTGGGCTTTTATTTTTAGTGGACCGTTTTGCTAAACATCTAATATTAAGGTACATGTTCAATGCCTAAATTCAGAATGGGGCCTGCCTGTGTGGCACTGTATTATAGACCGAGAAAGAAAAGGATTGAGTGAAGTTGGTATAATGTGCTAACATCTCTTTTCAGCTCAGCAGCTGTGTGCGTGGTGTCTGTGACTGAGCATGAAGGAAAGAAGAAGACGAATTGCAGATTACAGTCAAATTAGATTTTCCTAATGGGGCTTTTGAAATAAACTAACAGATTACTGTTTAAATAAAACCTGCAATAAGGATGAGTTGATGTTATATTATTAAATTTCTTAATTTAATTCTTAAGCTCCAGAGCCGGCCAAGTAATATTCAACGCATTTACTTTCACAAACTGTGGAATGCACTGTGGAAAAGCTAAAAAACCTTTTCATGGTTTCACCAATTCTCCAAGTATTCAAGCAATATCAATCACAGAGAATAGTATCTGCCTGCCATATGTTAGTAGGCATTTGCTAGAGCCCTATGCTTCCTTTTTTCATTACTATAAAACTATTGAGTGCAAAATCATGACAGGTTGTTTTATTTTTATGACTAAATATGTGTGCTGGAAACTAAAAAAAAAAATTAAAAAAAATTAAAATAAAAAAATACAGGGGCCTGGTGGTGCAACTACTAAATTCAAAATAAGTGTAAGGCCTGTCTATCAAACAGTAGTATCACTGGTGAAGAAACCTTCCCACCCACCTTGCCTTGCCCATAAAGGCCTCCCTCTCTGCTTAAGGCGAATATAGATTTGAGGATCATGGTTACTGTGCTTGACTAGACGAGTTAGCAGATGCCTGGTGAAAATGCAAAGAAAGTAGCTCCTCCTCAAACACAGCTTAGAAACATCACCTCTTTTGGCAACTAATGGCCAAGAAAACAAAGCAAAATATAAGTACTTTTAGATTCCACATTAAGACATTTTAAATGCATCTATAATAAATTATATAATAACAACATCTAATGGACTATATTTTATCCCTTCCTATTTAATAATGACCAGAATGCCCATATTTTGAACCTCTCAGATAAAGTAATGTGTTTTGTGGGTCTAGCACAGGCTTCAGTGCCTGGAGGCTCCAGTTCTATTTCCAGCTCTGCTTCAGACCTACAGGGTGACCTTTACGCATAACCTCATTTTCCTCACCTATAAAATGGGGATATTAATACTTATTTACCTCACAGTTGGTTCCCTTCCAGCTGCTACAGTGACTGAGCAAGCTCATGCATCTACAGAAGAATTGCTAGTGCCCATGATAAAGATTTTTTTTTTTTCAAACAAGCAATACAAACATTAAATTAAGACCTTATCTGTCCATCCAGTGAGCATAAGTACACAGAAAAATAACAGCAATGGAAAAACTGTTCAAAGCCCCTCACTAATTTCCTTTCAGTGACATTATCCTTCAGGAAAAATGTAGGTAGTCCCTATCTGACAGCAACTGGAATAAACTTCTTGATGCTGCTTTCAGTCAAGAAAAAAGTTTGGGTTTTGAGTGAAAGTCAAACCTGGTCCACCCTTGGAGAGGATATAATAACACTGCAAGCTTTGCAAGTAAATAAAGGGGAAGAAACAATTCCAGTTTGGAACTTTACCTAATAATGAGAGCAGAGAGAAAGAATGAAGAGGAGAATCAGCGAGAGAGAAGAGATACAGCCATCTCTTCCTAAAGGGAACCGAGCTACAGAGAAGAGATGGTGGCAGGTTCGCTGGCCCGCGGGTGGGGGGGCATCCCTGCGCACCCCTCCGTGGGCCCGGGACCGCCTCGGCCCCGCTCCGCTCGCCCCGGGGATGCCATACTTACTCTTGCACTGCTCGGGCTATGGAGAGCGCCGTGGATCCAGTTTCATTAACGCTATCTAAGGTCACATTTGGCAGGTCGTCATCATCACTGTCACTTTTAATTTGTCTGGGAGATAGGCCTCGGGGGTCCATTTGTGCTGGAAAGAGACATATAACGGATTAATATGAGCGTGCTGAAATTAATCTCGTCCCAGAACAACATCAGGGCGCACAACACATCCGCTCGCTCGGGCTGGCGAAGCCGGCTGGCCGTGCTACAGCTCCGCACAGGCCGACGCACGCAGCCCGCGCCCACGCACTTGGTGGACCTGAAACAAAACTACACGTGTGAGTAAAAAAAACTCCGTTTACTCTCAAGTTACTTACTCTGCCCATCTTCAGAAAGTGAACAGAAAAGGCTGCATCTGCTTTGTACAACACAGCACACTCTGGGATCAATTTTACAGCAGAATTTCAGAAGCTGTCTTTGATTCTGAGTGTTCATTGTCAAAATATCAGGCTGGGACCCATGTCACTCCAGTCAAATAAAATTTGTGCACCTGTTAAAACCCAATTGTCCTGATTTCTGACTCAATTCAACATCTGAAGATCAGGAATCGCAGGATTGTTTTGTACATCCACAGGTTACAGTATCCATACTGGGCAACGGTGCAGGTGCCCAGGTGTTGGCAGCTGGGGGCTGCAGGGGGTGCCTCTGTGAGGAGAGGCTGGGGTTGCCCCATGCCAGACACAGCTGGTTTCAACCAACCCACTGCAGGGCACAGCTGAGCCCCTCAGAGAAGATGCTGGTGCCTTTGGGAAAAATATATTTGAGAAAGGTAAAAAAAAAAAAAGCACACAGAGTGAGGAAGGAAGTGTGATAAACAGCCCTGCAGACACCAAGATGAGAAGGCAAGGAGGGGAGGACATTCTCCATAGTGGAGCAGGCTCTCCTGGGAGGAATCACAGCCCTTAGGGAACCCATGCTGGAGCAGTGGAACAGTGAGAGGAAGAAGGAGAGGTACAAAAGAGCTGTTATGGACTGACCCTAACCCTCATTCCACATCCCCCTGTGGTGTTCTGGGAGGGGGAGGTAGAGGAGCTGGGAATGAAGGACTGCACTTGAGCCCAGCAAATAGATTCTGGGGAATAGTGGTTCTCACTGTCCTAATCTACTTTTAATTAGCAATAAGTTAAATTATTTTTCCCCACACTGAGTCTGTTTTGCTTGTGCTGGTAATTGGTAAATGATCTACCTGCCTTTATCTTGACCCATGAGCTCTTCCACCTTATTTGCCCCCCCCATCCTGTTGAGGAGGGTAAGTGTGAGTGTAGCTGGGTGGATGCCTGGCAGTCAGTCAAGATCAATGTACCACAGCTACCTTTTGTGCCAAAAAGAGACAGGAAAGAAGAGGAGAGCAGAAAGATAGGCTATCTTCCTTCCCTCTTATCCTGGCTGCTGCCCTCCAAAGGGAAGAAAGCACAATCTGCACATGGGCAAAGGGAGGGAAACAAGAGATGAGCATGAGGAGGACTATGAGGCACAAATGTGACATGGGGTAGTCCCGAGAGGAACTGGGGGTTGCTTGCATCAGTGGACAGATTCAGAGATAAACTTCAGAGGTGATGTAGCAAAAGAGATGTTCCTCCTCACTCATGGAATATCATGTGTGATTAGTAAGTGCTGAGAGACACTGAAAGCAAATGGAGCAGAGAGCAAAGAGGGAGAGACGCCTGATCCTGCAGGGGAGGAGTGGGAAGGGGAAAGACAGGCAGAGAGCTTTGTTTAAAAAAGTATTTCTTTAGTTTGGGCAGGTGAAATAGGGGAACCCAATATTATTTGTTTAAAGAACTAACTGTTGCAGTTTGTTAGGTTGTGCCTACTCCTGTACTGCAGTGTCAGAGAGAGGACACTCCCTGGGTCCTGTGACTTGCTGTTCAAGACAGGCAGATACCATTCCTGTTCAACCCTGGATAACCACATCCCTGAGCAACAGGTATCACAGAATCA